TTTAATATAAGGGGGGGACCCCCTTAAACCCCCCTTTTTATTAAGGAAGTCCCAGACCCTTTTGCAAATTACTTATATTTAAAGCAGCAGCGTGCGTTACGTATAGCAGCAGCGTGCGTTACGTAAGGCAGCGACGTGCGTTACGTATAGCAGCCTTACGTAAGTTACGTGTGGCAGCCTTACGTAAGTTACGTGTGGCAGCCTTACGTAGGTTACGTATAGCAGCCTTACGTAAGCTACGTATAGCAGCCTAGCTGTAGTGCTTTACGTATTACGTAAAGCAATGCCAGCGACGTGCGTTACGTAAGGCACCGACGTGCGTTACGTGTAGCAGCATTACGTAAGTTACGTATAACAGCCTTACGTAAGTTACGTATTGCAGCGACGTAAGTTAAGTGTAACAGCCACACGTAAGTTAGCTGTAGCAGCCTTACGTAAGTTACGTATTGCAACGACGTAAGTTAAAGTGTGTATAGCTCGCAGATGCAAGCCAAGTTGCACTATCAAAATATTCTTGCATCTTTAAGTTGCACGTCAAGATGCAAGAATTGAGCAATCTGTATGGCTCGTGCACGTAAATCTTGCAAAGTATACATCTGACCTTGCAATTGCAATTGCACTATACAAATCGAAGTTGCAGCAAAAAGCTCTAACTCCTAAGTTGCAAGCTCAAGTTGCAAGCTATTCCTTCGCCCCCCCCCCACCCCCCCCACCCCCCTCCTCCCTCCTCCCTACCCCTTTTTTATAACGCTACCTTTTTGCAATAGCTTCTTTTAAAGATATTTTGAAAAAGCGTAATTTGCGCAATTCGTCTTCCTCGCTTATTCTAATATATACGCAGCAATTCTAATATATACGCATTACCAAAATCGAAAAGTATATATCAAAAGTATTGTTTTTACTATTTTAACTCAACATAATAAAGGAATAACAACTTGAAATTAAGTTTCGATTAATTGATTAATATTAAACTTAATAAGGTACATCTTTTTATATAAAAATAATTACGATATATTAATTAGTTGATTTTTTATTTATTAAAGAGGAGTAAATTTTACTATCCCGCCTTAATAATCGTCGGTTACCTTGAATTTAATTTATACAATTTATTTATTTATTATAAATATCTTAATAATCACAACCTTAATTCAAAAAAACGTTATATAGATCGAAAATAAATGATTTAATATATTATATTACTAAACGTATTAATTATTAAATTAAAATTGATAGTGATGCACGTATTTTTTTAATAGATTTAAATAAAAGTTCGATTTTCGTGTTCTTCGCTTATTTTAATATATACGCGGCAATCCTGATATATACGCATTATCAAAATCGAAAAGTATATATTAAAAGTACTATTTTTATTACTTTAACTTAACATAATAAAGGAATAACAACTTATAATTAAAATTCAAGTAATTGATTAATATCAAACTTAATACAGCGCATCTTTTTGTACAAAGATAATTATTATATAATAATTAGTTGATTTTTTTTATTAAAAAAGAGCAAATTTTACTGTCCCGCTTTAGTAGTACCGACCTAGCTGCGCCAGGTCGGGATTTTTTACAAATTAAATTCCAGATAACCGACGATTATTACGAAAAAACAATTAATAGTTATATAAAAAAAATTTTTTTTCTTAAGTTGCAAAATTTGCTAGTTGCGAGCCATACAAGCCTTAGAACGTGCAACTTCAACTGTCAAGTTGAGTTGATCCTATTTAAGATCAACTCAACTGCTTAGTTGCACGGACGTGCAACTGCGAGCTATACACACCTTTAAGTATAGCAGCGACGTGCGTTACGTGTAGCAGCCTTACGTAAGTTACGTATAGCAGCCTTACGTAAGTTACGTGTAACAGCGACGTGCGTTACGTGTAGCAGCCTTACGTAAGTGACGTATTGCAGCGACGTAAGTTACGTGTAGCAGCCTTACGTAAGTTACGTATAGCAGCCTTACGTAAGTTACGTATAGCAGCTTTACGTACCTTACGTATAGCAGCCTAGCTGCTTTACGTATTACGTAAAGCAGCGACATGCGTTACGTGTGGCAGCTTTACGTAAGTTACGTATAGCAGCCTTACGTAAGTTACGTATAGCATCCTTACGTAAGTTACGTATAGCAGCTTTACGTAAGTTACGTGTAGCAGCTTTACGTACGTTACGTATAGCAGCGACGTGCGTTATTTGCGGCAGAATTAATAGCGGTGGCTGAATTAAGCTTAGCTATAAGACATATTTAATTCGGGCCGACCCTTTCCGAAATCTAGAATTATCTGCCGACATTTCTCTTGGCATTGCTTAGAAATCCTGTCAGATCGATATAAAATAGTCTCACGTGATTAGCTGACTCATCACCATCACAACTACTCGATGACTCATCACTACCACGATTACTAAATAACTCATTACCACCACAACTACTAGAATTTATCTTGGGTCACCGTTGGTGACAATAAAAGTTATAAAACTTATAGAAGTTAAAGAAGTTAACTATAATCACCTTACCTGTTAAGAAAGCTCGGAATCTGACAAAAGAGATTTTACTAATCAAAGTTCAGACCTCATATATTTGTTGTTGTTGTTGTTGTATTTATTTACGTCGAGCGGGTAGCAAGCGAAGCCTGCCGCCCTGGGACCTCCCATAGGGTACGGCGACGTGCTAAGCTAAGGAGTTACATACAATCCACGCTGATTCCGCCAGGAGCAGCGCACCGCTCGCTGGATACAACTTCAGTCTGGAGCTATCGGTCTTCAGCCCTGCAATATTAGGGCTCGACGAAGCCTTTTTGAATATATTTTCCGTCGCCACGGTCAATATCATAAGGACAGCCGCAAAGGGTGGTATAATGGCTTACGGCACCCGCGCTGCTGTCCTGGTAAACGCGTAACGTGTTACGTCACGCTAAAGCTGACTGAACCGTAAGCTCCTTCCATCTCAGGAAAATGCTACTATCATCCCGTGACCTACGCACTCACCAACTTTTGTAAATATTCAAATTCATCATCTCTTTAGACAGCACTACACCACAACACCACACCAAGCCATACCATACCATACCATACCACAGGACACCATACCACACGACACCATACCACACGACACCGCACCGCACGACACCATACCACAACACCACACCAAGCTATACCACACCAAGCCACACCACACGATACCATACCACAGGACACCATACTACACGACACCATACGACACGACACTATACCATAATACCACACCAAGCTACACTATACCAAGCCATACCACACGATACCATACTACAAGACACCACACTACACGACACCGCACCGCACTACACCGCACAGCACCGCACATTGTCACAGAACTCTATCCAGCGCTATACAGCCCAGCCAGTCCAGTCCGGCCAGCACAGCACAGCACTCTCGGAGACTATCGATCGACATTATGCCCTCGCCAGCGGTGAGCGAGACTTACGACTTCGATACCATAATGAACGAGTATACCGTCCAAGCTGTGGGCCTCCCCTTTCTACAAACACCACGACAGCATAGCCATGCTAACATCATGCCTATAGCCCAAGATCCAAGCGGTACTACAACGAGCCAAAGAGCAGGAGATCGAGTTGAAGGATCTCAAGAAGCAAAAGAGCGATTTACAAGACGAGTTGGCCCGCTGCTCGTGGACTCAAGCAACCGTGGAGCTTTCCAATACGCTCTCATTGTTTACCCCACATACATCGGCGAAGTTTGATATCAAAGTATGTTTTGTTGGACATTCATGCATATTCTTCTTGCTTGGCCTCTTCGCTGACCAGATCGTCGCTAGCGGCTGCACACCGAGGCAGCTCGAGCTCTCATCCGGCTCACGTCGTTCAACGATATCTGCTTGGCGTTCCATAACCACGAAGAGTTGCAGGGAAGGTGGTTGTGCATGGATCGATTGCATCTGCCGCAGGAGGATGGCTGGGGCTGTAAGGATTGTGAAGTAGCGAAGAACTGTTTGCTGGTCAAGTGCAAACTGCCGGAAATGGAGCTGGCTTTCAAGAGAGGAGTGGAAAGAGAGATGAGAGAGAGAGAGAGAGAGGTAGTTTGATAGTGGTTCAATCATCAAGCCTTTCAGACCCCAAGTCCGTACCCTTTGAGATTGCGCAGACCCGAATGAACGAGCTCGCGATTTTACTTCCTCAGCAAGCAGCACTTTAGAATTGAAGAAGGATCTCGAGCTGGGTCGGGAGGGTTGTTATTGTTACGAAGACGTGCGTAGCTAATGATTTATATGACTGCAAGAAGACCATGTGCGACGTTTCAGAATGGCAGAGTGCAATGCAATCCAATGCAGCGGAGCTGCTATCAACTACCGACGCCCTTCCTTTGCAAACGAGAGGATTACAAGTAGAGAAAAATCCCGAGGAATAAAGGATCCAAAAGTGCCAGGTGGTGTGTGCAGCCACCCGCACACCAGCCAGCAATAGGATAGGCGGAAGGAGAGGGGTGGGGTGGGGTGCTGGCAAGTTGCTCCTTCCATATCAATCGATATACTAGTTCACACCACGTGACGCACCAGAGAATTCCCATTCATTTCTCTCCTCCTCTTCGCCTCTTCACCCTTTCACCTCGTCAATCCATCAACCCGTCAACGCAACTCAACTCAGCCCAACCCAACCCAATCCGATTCAACTCAACTCAATCCAACCTAACCCAACCCAATCCAGTCCAACCCAACCCAATCCAACTCAACCCAACCCTAACAAGAGGTATCGACAACGTCTCCAGATCTCCAGAAACCTTTCGCAGACCAGACCCATACTATCACCACCTCTTCTCTAAGATACCACTTGATCCATCCACACCAAGTATGCCACCCTTGCCTCACACCTCCTCTCCAAGTTCTCTACTAACAGCTCGGACAGGATGGCCAACTTCACATGGCCTGCTCTGCTGCTAGCCATGGGAGACCCGGCGATTCCCTTCCTCCGACTCGCTGAATGGAAAAACGAGATCGATCTGATCTTCAAGAAGCACCTCGTCGATCTGGGAGTCACCCGGATGGATAAACACCCGAACAAGGACAAGGTGGAGGCCGGAGTACAGGCCTGCTTGAAAGAGATCCCAGAATTCGCTGAGCTGAGTCGATCTCGACAAAAGAAGGTTATGATACAATTGAGAATGTTCGCGACTATGAAAGCGAGAGCCAAGAAGACGAAACGACAGGAGGTACAAGAAGAGTCGCTCGGGGATTCGCAGGAGGAAGGCTCACGAGAGGGCTCAGATGAGGAAGAGGATGGAAAAGTCCGGAAAGATGCTGGTGGGAAGCGCGGGCCAGATCTGGGTGAAGATCAAGGTAAGAAGTCTTCTCATGAAGACCTGCCACATACCTAACGGTGCCAGATTCCAGCAAGAAGCCCCGAGTAGTCCTGGCGGTTGTCGAAGAAGATGCCCGCTCCCTCTTGGACAGACCGGTACCATCTCCACCTGACTCATCTCTCCGCTCCACGACAGCGCAAGTGATCCCCCCGCGAAGCAAGCCCAGCTCCCAAGATGGGTTCTCTCAAGCTCCGATAGCATCTACCAAACCCTCTTCCATCGCCGAAACTCCGCATGTTGACCTCGCAGATATTGTAGCTCGCCCGAGTGAGGTCAGCTTCCAAGGCGCCGATAAGGGTGCTCATGCTTTGAACGGACCTCCAAACACTACCTTGCCCCTGCTTCATAGTACAAACCCGCTTTCTTTGATGATGTTCAAGCAAACTCTCAAGACAGGAAGTTCCACCGCCGGCCCAGCTCGAAAGGCCTCCGTACCCAAGCCGTCGCTACCGGCTTCCGAAATGCTACCCGCAGCAACCGATCCGACCGCCAGGCCGCCTTTGGGTAGCAAGTCCACAAATATGAGCCTGAACACGGTGAAAGATCTCCAGTGGGCTCAAAGAATGAAGGTCGCGAAGAAGAAGGATTGATTGAAGAAAGGTGGTGGGTGGCTGGAGGAGAGGGCTGGCTTGTCATTGTACATTATTTGTGCTCGCCGTTCGCTTGAACTTCTCTCCACTCTGAATGATAATACGGAAGTAGCTTCTTATTCATCTGCACGGGCTCGACGCCGCTTTCGCAAGGTAGGAGAGACTGGAAGTGAGAATCTCGCGTCTTCCACATCTTAGTATTGTGCGAAATGCCCTTGGCTCTGCCATAGCACGTGCCTTGAAGCACGTGCCCTACACTGGTAAGAGTTGAGGTGAGTTGGCTTGGGCGGCTACCAAGTAAGTCGGGTCGTAGGTTTAGTGAGTTGGCTTGGGCGGCTACCAACTAATAGTGGGCCTTGACGTCGCAACTTTTGGGCCCACCATTACCATCGGGTCGTAGGTTGAAGAGAGTGCGGATGTCAAGCTTTCGCATGCCTCTCGCACGATTGTTAAGAGCCACACGACTCTCACGAGCAGCACCTTTGAGGCCTAGAATTCAATCAGTGCGAATCGAATCTTCCGTTTAATCGTCTGACGATTATTCCGACGCCTAAGAGCTCTTGGCGGTGGCTCAGGTCACGGCAGCCTTTCCCACATCCCTCGGGAACAGCTAAATCCATCACCACCAGCTTCACTCTCGCACGCTCTTACATAGTTGCTCGCAAACCATTGGAACCTCCACACGGCCGGCTCTTCGAATCTGCCGATATGGTTCTGAGTGACCCGTTGAAAGAAACTATGAACGATAGCTAGCACGCTCGCGGAGCGGCTGGCCGGCCGATGGGATGGTTTTGGGTGATTTGAAACTTTGCATATATTTCTGGCACGCTTCTCCGAGCCGTAAGACCACCCAGCAATTAA